AACTCGTCTCCATCACCTGCACCTCTAGCTCTTCCGCCTCCTTCCAAGATCCAGCCTCTGAAAAGACTAACGCAAATCTCGCAGCCTTAACTGCGCTAGGAATATCGAGGTAGGTATCACCTTCTATGCATTGGGTAATATGTGGGAGTAGTTTTCGTCGAAACGTGTAGTCCTCGCTCGTGAATTCCCATGTAATACAGGACGATAATATCATCCTCACGTTCTCTAGGAAATTCTCCTGCGTGGAAGGAGATAGCCGATCCCGAGCCCAGAAGTGTACTAAAGGGTGCATGGAAAAAACTGTCCCAGAGCCGTCCGTTCTAATCAAAGAGAATTTGAGAAGTTCGCGAATCGCCTCGCCAAAAAAGTATGTATTCCATTCACCGTTATTGTCGCAAGTAAAAAGGCCGCTGGGTATATTAATAGAAGGTGCGCTGTTGCTGGGAGAACTGCCCTTTGTTTCATCGGGATTTAATCTACCGGAAATCGTAGCTCGTCGAAAAATATCTTTCATGATACCCTCCCGATGGAACATGGCAAAGAGTCCTAAAAGCTGTAGAGCAGCTTTTAGCGTTTGACGTCTCGCTTCCTCCGCCTCTTCATCTTGGGCTTGTCTCTCTATTGCGGTGTAGGAGATTTCCCAAGTCGCATACACGGCTTGGTCATGCGAGGACGCGCGTTGGTAGGATTGGTTCCTCATCAACGTTGTACGCTGGCTCCTAAACAGGTGGAGATACTCTTTAATAGTACAGACGCGAGTAGCCATATAAGCTCCGGCTTGGTCGATTGCTAGTGGTAGCCCCCCGAGGACTTCCACGATCTTCTGTGCGCTTTCTCTCTCCTCGAGGATCCTGGGTGAGCGGTTGGTTTTGGCAAGGAGCTCCAAGGCCTCGTGCTGGTCCATCTCGCCCACTTCGCAATAGGCTTCCGGGGGCAGAGAATACTGGATCTCAGGATTACGGCTGGTATAGAGGATGTTTCCTTTGTCTCTTTTAGGTATAAGGTTTGAAGCTACCTCAAAATCATCCACGTTATCGAACAGCAACAACCATTGCTCACTTGTAGTATCTAGCCATTGGAGCGCGGACTCGACGGAGGCTTCTCCTTTGGAATCGCCTAGGCGTTTCTCTGCTGCTATATCTTTATAGCATTGCTTAATCGTAGCCACATTGCTACTATCGATCCAAAAGATGTTTTTGAAGCTGCGTATGTTAGCCCCGACTAAAAGAGCTATAAACTGGTACTTACCACTCGGTGCTTTCTTCGGCAAATTTCAATGCAATTTGTGTCTTACCAGCGCCACCCATCCCGTATAAGAGAAACTCTCTTCTCTGAATATTTTTTTCTTGCACTTGAGTACCGAAGAAGTTTTTCAACTTTTCCAAGACTTGCAATCGGCCAGTGAAGTTCGGACTCGACCTAGCTCTGGTTCTAATTGGCACTCGGACTTCTTGGCCTCGTGGAAGACTTGAAAGTACAACGGCTAGATATTTTTCAGCTATAGCCGCGATATATATTTTCTAAGAGAGTGGTGACTAACTTATAGATCGTAAGGTAGGGCCATTCGTACGAGGCTGGCAAAGTAGCTTCACGACTGTGTTTAGGCTACTGGAAACGCTAATTTCTTTCAAATATGCTGAGGTATGTGTTTGGACCTCTGACATTTTCTTCCATTCTTCCAGCGAGATACTACCTTGCCCATATGCCACGCTGAAACGGAAATATAGGTCAGGTGCATTTTGGAACCGCGTGCTAATCTCGTGTGATTTCTGCTCGCAGTCTGTGGCGATTTGCTTTAGAGTGTGGATTAACTTCGTAGGAAGTAGCCTTTGGAATCCGTCCGGCTTGGATAAGCCGATTACTCCAGGATGGCCTGTTCCGATGCTGACAAGGCAATTGAATGCTCTTTCTTCCCCGAAGACCTTCCTAGCCTCCTCTAGGACTTCATCGGCCGGATTATTGCACCTTATTCCCCCGTCAATAAACTCCTCCTTGGTTTGACCTTCTTCGCCGATGGCAATCCGTTTGAAAAATATGGGCGCAGCTGTAGTAGCGCGGGCTGCCTCCCAGATTTGACAATTGGCGCTTGCATTCTCTCGTACATGGTAGGTCCGGAAGAGCCGCGGATGAGCCATGTTTCTTGCTGACATTGCGCACACGAAGGCTTTTCCCATCTTGTTCTCGCACGATACGTCCTCCATAAAGTCACCAGCTCCCTTTTGACTAGTGAGTCCGCGGACTGCTCTCTCCAGCGTTGACGCTTTGAAAGTCCCATCCTGGAATATGTACTTTTTGTTGTCACTGGAGAAGATTGAGCCGGCTAAAGAGTTATAGACACGTAGAGCTTCTTCGGTAGACATGCAGAATCGGCCAAGAAGGAGGGCGATGAGCCTATAGAAATAGTTTAGCTTTCCCTCAGTCTGCTAACGATAATCAGCCTTCTAATGGCTAAGTAACCGAGCTTACCCGCCAGTGCTAGTGCCACCGATGAGATGAAAGTATTCACAAGGGCGAGGTAGCTCCACAAGTTCCAGGTCATGTTTCATTCGTTTCATGATCTCGTGGAGGATTAGTAGCTCCGATAGACCGCGTATACCGCCGCCATCTATCTAATTTTTTAGCAGGAAGTAAGTATGGCTAGTCAGCTGACTTACCAAGCGCAAGCAGGTTGACTGGTCCATCAGCCTGAGGGCTCGAACAGTCTGCCATGTTTCCTAGGAGTGGTTATAACAAGGTTTAGGCACTAGATACAAAGAGCGCGGTGATGAAGTAGTAAGAAAATATTGACGGATGTTAGCTGGCAAGCTCTAGGCAGCCGTAGAAATATTACCTGTCTAATAAGTACCGTTCGGCACTGCCGAAGGCGCAACCAGCTTAATTTAGGCAGCTGCAGCTTTACCAACCGGGATAGCTTGGTCTTAGCCAAGCGCCTAGGCAGGAACAACGATTGGCACACGCGATAAGCCCCGCGCCACGTCATCACATAAGCTGCGTTGCTGCCTAACCCTGGTGGTCATGCGTACCCCAGGTGGTTTTTAGCCTGTCGTAGGAGGACTCGATTTCAAACCACGGTATTCCTACTAGTACCCCTGATTTTCTTTTGAGCTTCGCAAATGTTGGTCGCCATGCACCTATACACAGAAATGTCAACTTCATAGGCGTACAGCCTGCCTCCACATCATTTTAGCTATAGTTACTTCACGAAATACTACTGTCCGTGCGTATATTAGTTGCAAGGAATCTAGCCGCGTGACGTAGTAAGCCGGCCCAACTTCGACTGATTCAACTAATCAACTGATCTTAAGGGATATTTAGGCGCTTAAGGCGCACTTGGAATTATTACTTACCCCGCTTGTTTAACAACCCTGTAATCTGTACTATGGGAGCTGAAACACACTTCCTATTTTTAACCCGATGCCACGTTAGCTAAGATCATTCGCTACTTCTAGTCCTATACGTCTAACTACTCTCCTTAGTGCGTAGAAGTTAATCCACGCATTATCACTTTTGTCAAAGCTCGAAAGCAGAGTGAGTTTACTAAGGAATAAAGAGCTTGTATTAGATAATAGTTATTGTTGAAATGTACGCAGTTTATATTGCTTTTTTTGTGGCTTAGTTATTTAGCACAGGGTATAAGAGGACTCCGCCTATCGGGCTCCTAACCCTTATGGCCAATTCCACTCAGGCCTGAGTGGAATTTTTTTGGTGGGGCGCACGGGCCAAAATTTTAACCTAAGTACCCTGAGTGGAATAGTTTCCGTTTTAACCTGAGTATAATTAAATCCAACGCGAAAATTTAGGATGCGAGTAAATAAACTTGTAGAGCTCGAAAAGGCGAGAAAAACACTTTTTTAGTAACTAAATTATCTGTAGTTTTCATGGAGATATTGCGCTGCAAAGTTTGCTGCAGCTGGCGGTCGCTCGCTGCGACAGCAGCAGCAGCAGTGGTGGCAGCAGCAGCAGCGCGTCCAGCAGAGCGACAGTAGCAGGCAAAGCGACAGTAGCAGGCAAAGCGACAGTAGCAGGCAAAGCGACAGCTGTCAGGCCAATGGCCTTAGGTAGATAGCAGCCTCCATAGTCATGGTGTTCGCACCCAGATCACGTGCTACTCACGTGGGGACCACATGGCCCGCGATCTCCTGAAGACTTTTGCTCCGGTCGCGAGGCCTACGAATCCTCTTTAAGGATTCGTCTCGTAGCAATCACACCCTATTGTCTTGCTCTTTGCTCCCTGTTCACATTCGTGTCTCATATTCGAATACTTCCTTTTTCCAAGAACGGCCGGCAAAGTTAGCAAAAGGCGCCGTATATTTGTACCACCCCTTTTGGGTTTTCCTACCACCCCTCCACCACCGCCTGCCTAATCGGGTAAAGCGCCCGGCAGAAAGCCAACTTCGCAACGTCACGTCTTCGCGTGTGCATCTCGCAACAACACCTCTTCGCGCCCACCCACCCACTTACGCCCGCCGGGCACGCTGCTGCAGGGCCTCACAATGCCTTACGACCTTGCTGCTCCGCCTGAGGGCAATCACCCCTCTGCTGACACTGCTTACGACTTTGCAACGGCCTTCGGGCTGGCCCATGGTTATGCTATTCGCAAAAACAGATCCAACTACACCAAGCGCTCCAAAATCTTAAAGAAGATCACTGTCGGCTGCGATCGCTCGGGCACCTACGAGTCCCAGGCACACGTCAAGGCGACTAGCACGAGGAAGCTCGATTGCCCTTTTCAATTCGTCCTCCGCAAGCTACCCGACGATACTTAGCAGCTCGAACCTGCTAATGCCACGAAACCTCATAACCATGAGGCCTTTAAGGACCCGAAGGCTCACCCCTCGCATCACAAAATAACGATTGAATAACAGCAGCTGGTTCAGGCGCTTAGTGTTGCTAGCCGCCCTAAGCAAATTCGTGCCTAGCTGATTTATGAAGACCCCGAATGCTTAATCACTAACTCTAATATCAAGAACCTTCGTGCGAAGGTGAAGAGACAGCGCCTCTATAGACTTACAAGCCTGCAGGCGATGTTGAGAGAGCTTATACAGGACGACGAGTAGGTTATTAACTATCAACTTGACGCAGAGAGCCACGCCCACACTGTGTTTTAGGCCCATAAGCGCTCGCTCGAGCTACAGAGGCGCTAGAGTAAGGTGATGATACTAGACTACACGTACAAGTCGAACAAGGACGACATCCCGCTGCTTCATGTTGTTGGAGTCTCACCTATAGGCCGCCTATTCTCTATTGGGTTCTGCTTACTAGCGAAGGAGGGCGAAGTCGAATATTTATAGGCTATTAAGTAACTTGCCGCTCATATTACGCAGCCTGGAGTCTTCGTTACTGACTACGAGTTGGCACTGAAGAACGCCCTCCGCAAGCACTACGAGCACGTCCCGCAGCTGATATGTATATGGCATATTGCTAAGAATGTCGGCATCAAGATTCAGAAAGCCTGGGCATATGACGAGGAGGAGGACGAAGCTACAGGTAATAATATTAAGGAGCTTCGCAACGAGTGTAAGAGACGCTTTCACGCTCTAGCAGACGCTCGCACTATTGATAAATTCAACACTATATAGGACGCCTTTCAGCACGACTACGCTGAGCAGTAGCAAGGCCTTATTATATATATTACGAATCAGTGGATGCCTTACAAGGAGGAGTAGTATCGTGCGTAGATTGATAAACACCTTAACTTTAGTAATCGGTAGGACTACCCTCTACCGCCTTACTATTGAACAGACTAACTACACGCAGTATAATATCGCTCGCAGAGGGCTCCTATAGCCGTACAAAGTCCTTTCTTAGCCACCGCAAGCAGAACTTTATCAGCTTGAAGGATAACCTCCTTCTGGCGATGGGCAACGAATGGCAAGATATTTAGAAGGACGAGGCAGTGGCATTCGGGCGTCCTCAACACTAGTTTACTTATGAACACCTGCTAAAGGACCTCGTCGGCCACGTGTTCCCGAAGGCCCTGAAGCTAATACTCCGACAAATCAACCTGCTGAGGAGTAATACCTACGAGCAACTCTGCTACGGTAATTTTGAGAGCTCTATAGGACTGCCCTGCGTCTATTCGCTGAAGCAAATAGTTACTAACGAGTAGTGGAGGATCCCTCTTCACTAGGTACACCCCTATTGGCGCTTTCAGAAGCTACTTAGCGATGAACCTCTCCTAGGTGTGAAGGACTTTATTCAACACCGCCGCAAAGGCCGTCCGCGTGCTCAGCAGCAGCAGCAGCAGCAGCAGTAGTAGCAGCAACAGCGTTCAACACCCGTTAGGACGATCACCAATACGCAGAGAGAACCTTCGCAGTTTGAGGTTGCCCAGCAGGCCGATCAGGCTACTCAGCAGAGGGCGAAGCGTAAGAGGACTGCCAGAGGGAAGGTAACTACAGAGTCACTGAACAAGAAGGTAGAGAATATATAAAAGATACTAGCACAGCTTATTCAGCAGCAGTCGGCCGGGCAGGTGGTTACTACTACGACTATAATTACACCAGCAGCCCTACGGGTAGCTTTAGCAGCGAAGAGGGCCCGCCGCAACACCACCAACACCTTTAGCAGGCAGCCTAAGCAAGTTACAATCAGTAGTGACGACGACGAGGACAGCGAGGAGGACAGCGAGGACTGCAACACCATAGAGGAGGATAGAGATACTGCCTTCAGCAGCAGTGCGGCACCCTCTGTAAACAGAGAGATGCCAGCACGTAAGGGTCGTGGCACGAGGAAGGCTCGCTACGGTGACTGAACACGTGATGGAGCGGGCTGCGGGCAGGCGGAGGAGCGAGCAGCTGGCGGCGGAGGACGCAGGAGCGCTCGCGGGCGCGAAAAAGCGACGTTTGTAACATATAATAACTCTCCTCTTCGCGTGCCGCGCTGTGACAGTGAGGTTGGAGATATGGAATTTTTTGGTTGATTTTTGGTGTAAAATGAGGGGTGCTAGTTCCTGTTCCTCACCTGCGCGTCCTCGCGCGGCGTCGCGCGAGCGACTGGTGCGGGCGGGTTGTGCCGAAGGTAGCTTTCTGCCGGGTTATTACCCGATTAGGCAGGCGGTGGTGGAGGGGTGGTAGGAAAACCCAAAAGGGGTGGTACAAATATACGGCGCCTTAGCAAAATGGCTAGGAACAACACGCGTGCCATAGGCTCCTCCCGTGCGACCAGCCCGCGGGTCGCCCATGAGGACAGGCAAGCAATCGAATCAGCGCCCACAGGAGACTCAATAGCCTTGCCAACAGGTAGCCAAACGGCTGCAAACACTCCGGAGGAACTGCCTCGGGCGGAAACACCGGAGCAGTAGGAGGCTTCGTCCCCTGCAGAGTTCGCGGAGGAACGACCAAGTATCCTCCACGAAATTGAGGCCCAGCTAGACGCAGCCCGCAATCAGCGGGTTGACCCGGCAAGTATCGACCAACACGTCGCGAAGATTAAGAGCTTGCATGAGTATGTCCAGGCCCTCCGCGACACCGATTCGGCCCATGAAAAGAAACGAAAGGCCGAAGAAAACGAGTTCCTGAAACGGTTGTCCAAACTGGTCAATCACCCTGCGCCTGTCCTGCGAGAAGCTTCCCAACGGAAGTTCGACATCTGGGTGCAAGAAGTTCAGCGGATATTCTATTCGCATGACGTTCTTAAGGACCACGACCGCAGGATCTCGTGGCTTATGGGGGGAATCGCTTGGAATGAGGCCACAGAGCCCATGCACAAGCGGGTCGCACTCCGCCAGAGAGAGGTCCACCTCAAAGGTGCCCTCACATGGGAGGAGTGTAAACAGATCCTCCAAGACACGGTGCAAAGTCCCCTCGCTCGCGAGGCGGACGTAGCTCATTCATACTACAACACCGTGATGAGGGAGAACCAGACGTTCGACCAATTCCTTTCGCTGATAATGTGCATGGAAGAGACACTGGAAGTGGAATACACAAACATTCTCCAGGAGTGCCAATTCTAGTTCTCCCGCCTGCCGCCGCGACTCCGCAGCAAATGCCATAAGCTCTCCTTGGACTTCCGTAAGTTCCGTACTCGCGAAGAGTTCTGGGACAAGATTCGCTATATTGAGCGGGTCATCCGGGCTACCCGGGAGGCCCGTCACAATAAGCGGCGTATTGCGGCCGAGAAGAGTACGAAGAAGCGCAGCAGGAGCTCCAGCGGATCTATGGATCGCGGCCGGAGCACTAAACGCAGGGGTATAACACTCTTTTCCCGGTCCCCTCGTGGGAACACCCCGCAGGACCGGAACGCCACAAAGCCTAGGGATTCGTACTCGAATAGTAAGGGTAATCACCCAAACCAGAAGTTCGACTCTAAAAGGGGCGGCGGGTTTAACAAGGACAAAAAGGAGGTAAGTACAAACAAGCCTCCTCGGAAGCCTAACTCGGGAAACTCGCAGCCCTAGTTATATAATAATGTAGTTATGTATCCCATGTTAAACACATCGAGAGCCAATTATTTTCTATCAGTGCGCAGCGGTTAGCACGTACTACTTTCGTATCGATAAGTAGACGTTAGCATAGGCCACAAATATTATCTACGCCCAAGAACTTTTACCAGCATATATATCGATTTTGCCGACGAAATCATATTAAGACTAGACGTCTACGCCAGCAAAGAGACGTCTACACCGGTAAAGAGACGTTTACACTGGCAAAGAGACATCTACACCGGCAAAGAGACGTCTACGAAAGAGTTCGTTTTTGGTAAGTACGCGTACAACAACACAACGCCACCTGCGCACATCGCGCAGCGACAGCACACCACCCAAATCACTACAAAATTGGTCTCATTCAAACGCGCATCTATCTATAAAACTTATTGTTCGAATTTTGCCAGGAATTCGGTCAACCCAGCTGTTCACAGTCGCAATATCCAGCTCCTCCTACTCCCGACGCCACTGATCAGCACATCCCCCCTCGGTCTTGCTCTATGGCCACTCCTTGCCTAGCTGGCGTCTCATCCAGGGCCAGGCATGCTCGTTGGCGTTGATATCTGGCGAGTTACCGCGCCAAGTCATCTTCTGAATGTTGGTGTTCCCCGTGAACTCGGTGTCGAAGCGAGAGGAGTAAGCAGGCACTTTAAGTCATTGCGGTGGGTATATCTTGCCGTGCGGCTGTCTGTAGCACCGGTGGCGATTTTAACTTTGTCTTCCTCAGTCAGCTTCGCTGCAGCACCCCGAGGCTCATCAAGTAAGTTATATTCATCCCAAGCTGTCCTCTCGAATCGATTCGCTTCTTATGCTTCATGATGTGTTGTTGGCTGCAAAGAGCGTTGTAAATTGAGAGAGTTACGAGCTTGAAGGTCCGGAGACACCCGGGCGCACTAACGCTTCCTCACTAAAATCGAAATCCTTCGTACAGAGAGAAGCAGGCAGAGAGATACAGGCAGAGAGTCATCTACGCCAGCAGAGAGACGTCTACGCCGGAAAATAGACGTCTACGCCGGAAAATAGACGTCTACGCCGGAAAATAGACGTCTACGCCGGCAAATAGACGTTTACGCTAGTATAAGGATTGCAGCTATTTCTTGGCGGGATTATAAGCTCGAGGATAAAGGACACGGTTCGCCTATTGGCCTGCGTAGTTCTAATAGACGGCAGGCCTGCGGCGGTCGTAGTAGGGGCCGTGCCTACTGCTTAATTGCGTAGTTTTGATATTACGTGCAGTTAAGCTGATTAGCTTGCGTAGTTTTGGGCCGCTGGCTCTAAGAGCCCAAGGAAAGCCTCACAACGATAGCCGCTCACAATCTCCGCACCCACCAAACCTGCCCTCTTTCTCATACTCGGCTTCCTACCCGTCCCTACCGACGACGTCTCCACTGACAGCTGCATCCACTATCTCGTAGGGAGCTCCGCCAGGGCTAAGGCCTGCGACATCGACGCCAACTCCGGTGCCTACAAGGCCTGCGACGCGGTCGCCCACGCCGCGCTCTCCTACATGCAGTTTTACCCCCGGCATTTCGTTTGTTTCGACCTCCCCCTACCCTCGAGCGCCATGGGTCGGCCGTCTCTCGAACGCCGCCACGGCGTGCGCAAGTTCGTACGCGACCCAGACACTATAGCGGATACTGAGCCCGAGGGCGATAACGAGGGCACGAGTCCGCGACCGAGCCGCCGCCGCCGCTGCTGCTGCCGTAGAGCCCTAGAAAGAAACGGGGCGGTATGGACCGGAATCTCAGCGGGCTCACTAGCGGCCTTCTCGGCGCCAATATCTCCATCGGCAGGCGTGACTAAAGCGCGGGCGTCTCCTCGGCAATGTTCACGTTGCTCGACATAGCCGGAGAAAAGAGTAGAAAGGTAGGAGGTGATGAATGGCTGGCCAGCTGGTATCTTTTTCGACTTTTGTTAAACATCAAAATGTTCCACTATCGGACCATCGTTCTTTACGCATTATTCTCTGTATTCAATTCACCTTTTTGTTGTTTCAACACCATGTTATTACCCTTGCTATATTCTCTAAGTGAGCACATGACTGCTTCGCTCCTTTATGTATATAAAGCTCGCGGCCAGTCACTCTGAGAACCAAGCCGCGTTCACTCTTTACTCGCACAGTTTAAGCCTACATATCATGTATCGTCCCAGTTGGGAAATCAAAGAGCAATCGCGCTGATCTAAATACTAAAGTAAAGCCTATAACTCCGAGTGCTAACCTTAATGACGTAACGCTGTTGTTGAAAAAGTTACAAATAATAAAGAGAGCTAAGCGCCAAAGTAAATATACAGGACCTAGTACAGTAGGTTCCTCTGCCTTCTTGTGTCCTCGTCAAACAATATAGCATCCCGTATTAGCTGGGTACTGCTATTGTCGCTACCGCCCGTGACGATCTCAACATCTATAAAACCGTCTCTTCCGTCTCTTCTCTATTCCAGATCCCTATTATTATCTCGAAGTGCACGAAGCGCCAGATGTAGCCCTCGATATACCGCCTCATCAGTCATGCCTTCGTCCCTAAGCGTCTCATATAGAGTTACCGCTACATCGACACAATGGCTGTCGGATACTGCCCAGAGTGTTCCTATAACGTGTCTGAAGCTAGCAAGTTGGAAAGCGCTGACAAGATGGATCGCTTCATCAGCCAGTTGCTCTGCATTATTCGTGCCAGTTGAGCAGGCGGAAAGGTATCCTAGGAACGGCGAGTTCTCTTGCAGCCTCTGGTCTCGGAGATCTGCTACAGTCAAAGGACTTTCCTGCCAGTCGCTAAGGAGCAAGCTGCTTTGCGAAGGCTCGACAGGGTTTGAGTGTCCGCGCCCAGCAAAATGGAAGATCCTTGACGTAAGTAGGTATCTTATGATCTCCTCCCGGCTCTTCTGTGGTAGCTCAACTGGATTCAGCTGCATTAACGGGCAGAGTTTTTTATCTTAGCTATTTCCTTTGCGGCGAAATCGAGGCTCGGCTGGCCGGGCGTATCTTTTATAGAGACTAAGAGGGCATCTTTTTCGCTGTATACCCTACGTTTTTCTTGCTGTGCTGGCGCCCATAAAGCAGTGCTTTGATTGAGGGACTGTATGATGACATGACCCTATCAAGGACTGTCTCAGCAGACTTTTCCATATGGCGTCCTGCTGCATGAAGCGGAAAGAGGCTTAGATGCCCCGTAGGGATCCACCAGATACGGGGCCATTTGTCGTCCTGGATAGGTCTCTGGAACCCCAGTGCTTCGAGGACAGGATGTACAATAACGTCCCAAAGCCACTCGAGTGCTGACTCCATTTGGCTAGGTGACGTGGGTGAGCCTTTGCCTGGTCATAATCCTTGCAGCTTCTCCTCAAGAACTCGCTCGCTGAAGTTAGGCAAAGGCAAAGCCCTGATTTGATTAGGGTTAAATCGAGTGCGCGTTAACCTGTGGGGTTGCTGAATTTTCTGAGGATGACCCTAGGCCTGCTAAATCAAACTGCAGGGCGAGGGCCAAGATGCTGGTTTTATAACGGGCGTAGTGTTGAGAAACATTTGAATCAAATTAAGCTTCGGGGACATTTGGCACTATTCGGCAGTTGGCTTAGCAGTTGGACGAGGGGCAAGAACGTGTTCGAAGCCCTAATATTTGATACTACGGAGTAAGCCTTATTAGACAACGCGGGTTTTTGCCCCTTAACACCATCAAATATTCGGTACACCAGTAAAAATATATAACTACCGTTTGCCACCGTCTCCCTGGACCAAGCTCTGTCGGGACGAGATCGTTACTGGCGCGACGCTACGGAGACGGTCGTCACCGTCCGTTAGCGTACCGTCCATTTGTTCAGACCGACGGTAGTGAGGCTGGATGATTCCGCACTCTCACACCAACCTCTCTGGCAATCTTCTCACAGTTCTGCTCACGACCGTACTCTTACTGGTCTCTCTTAATAATATCCTAGACCTTCTTCATCATTGAGTTTGTGCGCTTGGTCGGCCTTCCAGATTTGGGCTTGTTCTCCAGATATTCGTCCAGCAGCGGCATGTCTTCCTCAGGTCTCTAGCCTCGCTCTTTCGCAGTTGTCCAATAGCGGTTGCTCCGCCTGTCTCCAATGCCAGTCTTTGTGGGAATTATGGAGACAGGGCAGCCAGTTGGCTTAAGAACCACTGCCTGGGCGCGGGTCGCCAGCTGGATGGGAGGCATGACAGCAGGCGTCCAAGCGAGCGACAGGCAGCCAGGCAGGCGCGCGTGAGACCGAGCAGGCAGTCCAGGCGTGCGACAGCAGGCCTCTTAGTCTTCCAATCAGTATGTCCAGTTGAGCGACAGCAGTAGTCGAGCAGGCCGTTGTCGGAGGATTGACGAAAGTGGTGGAGACAGCGGCTGTTGTTATGCCGAGACGGTCTGGCGATCGGCCAAAACTTTTGGTAAGAATCTCCGTAGCATTCACAGTGCTGGCCCCGCACCGGGTTCTCCGGGTCCAAAAGCTTGTCGAGGTCTTCCTCAGAAAGCTTCGGTATCCGGCCTTGAGTGTCTTGCTCTTGGGTTTGTTGTCGACCGCATCAGAAACCCGAGTCCTCTGAATTGTTGAATTCCTTTGCCCGACCAATACCTGTGCGAAGGAGGCGTGGCTGCGCAAAGGCTGGTCGGGTTTGTGCGACGGCTGGCTGCGGCTAAACGAGTTGTTGGTGGATTGGCGCAATGGCTGACCATGGCTGCAGCTGGTGCAGGGAGCGACAAGGAGCGACGTGCGAATGTGAGGTGCGAGCGTTCTGCGAAGGTTGTTGATGGTTGATGGTTGCAGAGGAAGCGGCGAAGCACGGTATTCTGCGACCCACTTGGCGTGGCACTAGCACAATGTGCGGCTGCGCGGGCAGGCGGCGCGGGCCGGAGTGCACAAGCGGATCGGATGTCGAAGGTGGAACAGATCGTAGGTGGGATCGTAGGTGAAATCACCAGGATGAGCCTTGAGGAGCATCATTACTGATGATGTATTGCGACCGGTGCGTTTCCAATGGAACCGCGACTCAACACCATGCGATGTGGTAAAACAGAGGCTTGGCATATGTGGCGAGAGCACGGACGGGAAGGCAAATGCGGGGGCGGGAGCGGGTACGCGGCAGATCGTCGGCGCTAGCAAGGGTGTGCATGAGATGGCGAGCGCATATATATATCGAAAAAGCGAACATCTTGGCATACAAAAGACTCTGTGGCTGACCTGGTGCGCTCTGAGTTCTAATTTACAAGGACAAGGGTTCAATCCCGGCCTTGGTGGGAGACCTTCACATTTTCAAATGCGAACCTTCCTTTGAAATTAGGCGAGGGTTCCCAGAATTGAGAGGCCCGTGTGCTGACATAATCGCAGCGCCGGGTAAGAGGGCTGTCCGGCAAAGACCCGTCGATGATGGGTGTAATGGTGCGTAATGCTCTAGTCCACGTGAGTTTCTAATATCTGCGGCTTCTGGGGAATTGTGGCTCTGGGGTGTGGCTCTGGGGATAAAATATTAGAGACTTCACGTGGGCTAGAGCTGCCTGCCTTCGTTAAGAAGGCAGGCTTCTGCGCTTTATTTTTTTTGGCCGCTGTGCACATGCCCGCTTTCACGCCCTTTCGCCCTTTTTTTTCTTTTTTTCGCGACGCGACTCTCAACCCTCCCTCTTCAACCTACCACCATGCGACAACAGCAGGCTCCTCTCAAGTCAATTTTCCCGGCCCGGGTTGCCAGGAAGGAGATCTCTCCTCAGCAGCGAACAACTCTTGCGACAGCAGTCATCTACGGCCAGCAGATGACTAAGCTGTCGCGCGTCACCAACGTGCCTTGCTGCAAGCAGCCTCACACAACAACGGAGCCAGCAAACAGCGACCGGGTCGGCCTGGGGAGGCTTTAGATCGGTCCAAACGTCCAGTTCCTCGCACTTTTCGCTTACACCCTCTCAAGACCTACGCGCAACTGAAGGAAGTAGTCATTAAACCCTCGCGCGACTCACTGCGCAGCTTGCTTAATCTCTCTCAACTGCTCAGAAATTATTCCCTCACTCGCTCGCACCACTGGCTTCGCCTCGCTTCTGATCGCATCGCGTCGCAATTGCGCACCCGCAGCATCTGCAACTTTCGCGCCTCTGATCGCGTATCTCACTCAACATCACCAGCTCTCGCCCGCGTTCGCCCAGCATGACCACCTCCAAGGCCATGATAACTGGCCCATCTGGAAACAACTAGGCTCTAGCATGCGCTGACGACCCGATTTGACAATAAGGGCGTTCTCCATGACGCCGCCATCATCAACACCTTTCTCAAGCTCATCCGCAGCGACTTTGCCATAATTGGCGAGTACATAACCGCCTTTCGCAACAGTGTGGCCGACATGGCTCACATCAAGCTTTCTCTCCAGGATCGTCTTACTTGCTCCATATTCCTCGAGGCCCGCCGCCTTCCGTCCGGTTCTCACACAAACTTTGTAGCAAAGGTCACAACTACTGACAAAAACAAACGTCGCCGCTGCGAGCACTGTGGAGGTTGCCATTTTATGGATGACTACTACTACCTTCACCCTAAGAAGCGACTTGCTGGCTGGAAGCCTTGGCGTACTGACATCGAATTTGTAGAGAGCGACAGCGATGCTGACAACACTAATTGACTCACTGTCAGCTGCGTCACTCCCATTAAGAAGCACTAGGTCGTCGACTCGGGCACCCACGATCAATTCACTAGCTTGCCCGCGCCCGCCTTCAGCGACTACAAGCGTCTCTCTACCCCCATCTCATTGAAAGGCCTCGCTGGCACAAAGACTGCCATTAGCAGAGGCAGTATCTCACTCATCTGCCCGCTCGGCAGTAGCACGACTGCTATCACATTCAAGAATGTTCGCCACGTCCCTAGCCAGTCGTCCAATGTGCTCTTACTGGGCAAGCTTAAGACAAAGGCGTCTCTCTGTCCGGCAAGACTTTATACAAGGACAACTGCCTGCTTGCTCACTGCGATATCAAAAACAAGCTCTACTGTCACTGCATTGCTAACAAGTCTGCAGTCAATACCAAACCGCTCAGCAGGCCGCCAGCAACTGTCCTCGCCACCTAGCGTCGTCCTGACCCGATTCGCAATACCACAAAGACGGGTGGTGAGTTGGGGGGTGACACACTAAGCACAGGGAAACTTGGCCTCCAACAGCACTTACATGCGTTTAGCGCGTTAAGCACGTTCAGCACGCTCGCGCGCCCCGCAACTGACTGCTTATTAATTGACTAAACAGGGCGCGCGCGCAGAACGCCCATGTAACAACAGTAACACCTGCGCAGGACGCACTCAAAAAGCGACTTTCATACCTTGACCAGCGGGACTACTCGCTCTTTTGCACACGGCTCCACCCATTCTGCCGGAGGCATATTTTTGGTGGGATTTAGCACATTCCTAGAGATCCGGCGCCGGTGGTAGCCCTGGGTGGAGCACCTATGATTTAGGCTCTTTTTTACTCTCGGGGTGTGTCGGGCAGGCAGAGCTTTCTTGCCTAATATAGCTTCGCCCTTACCCTATGTAGCTAGTCTCGCTTAGTCAGCAGCGCTGCCTCACCTCTTCGGTAGCAGTACTCGTTGATCGCAAAACAATTAACTCTCTCCTCTACTTCATGCCCTTAACACGTTAGAATCGACATCTTACGTAAGCAACTTCGACGCATTATAAAGAACCATACTATCCTTTCCTATATTACCAAGAAGCGTCCTTTGTTTACGCCGGATATTACTCGTAAAAGGCCATAATAGACGAAGCATGTAAAGCTAGGCGCGAGGAATTAGACGCCGCTTATCCTTCTAGATTACTGCTACCTATAGAGGTATATATACTACTATCTAAAAGAACACGTTTTCTCTTTAAGATCCTTATACCCTTATAGTAGATAAACGTGTTGTCACGGTAGTAAGGCGGATTCAAATCAGATTATATAGGATTAACTACAAGACGTGGTACGAAGAGGAAAGGAAGAGAACGAGAGGCGGCGGCCATATATATGGCTCGCTAGCAGGCGCTAGGCGCTAAGCGAGAGACAACGAGCGAGACAAATACAAACAACAATTGACAAATAACAAATAAGACAAACCATCAGAAACATGAACAAACAACAATTAGCAAATAACAAACAAAGACAAACCGTCAGCTAGCGCTTGCTGGAAAGAACTGCAAGGAACGCGCTAGAAACCCGTGACACTAAGGCCCTTTTATGGGTTTTAGAAGTGATGAGAGATGGATGTTGGTGCTGTAGCGGAGAAATGCTATCGCGCCAAGAAAATACACTCCGTAGAAAGTAGGGGATAGACGGCTACATTTAGATAATTTTTTAGGTAAAAGAGGTTTCGGATAATAAATAGTACCTGTAGAGTAAAGTTCATTCAGTACTATAGGTATAGTAGCGTGTGCACATATTCTATATCGCTGTGAAGTAAAAGTACCTCGCGTTTGTTCCGGCACGCAGGGAGGGAGGTTACCAATTAATCTCAATTACGATAGAGGCACGAACACAACACTCGCGTAGTTTATTATGTCTTTGTAAACAGGAATAGTTGTAACGGGTTTCTAGCGCGTTCCTTGCAGTTCTTTCCAGCAAGCGCTAGCTGACGGTTTGTCTTTGTTTGTTATTTGCTAATTGTTGTTTGTTCATGTTTCTGATGGTTTGTCTTATTTGTTATTTGTCAATTGTTGTTTGTATTTGTCTCGCTCGTTGTCTCTCGCTTAGCGCCTAGCGCCTGCTAGCGAGCCATATATATGGCCGCCGCCTCTCGTTCTCTTCCTTTCCTCTTCGTACCACGTCTTGTAGTCAATCCTACACAATCTGATTTGAATCCGCCTCATTGCCGTGACACTTAGCGGAGACTTACAATCCCACCGAGGTATTAAAAAGTTAATATCACCGATATGTCTAGTACGCCGTTAAAGTCCGCCACGCAGGTCGGTACATTAGAATCGCTTAATAAAACAATTTTGGTTAGTTCAGTACGACTATACACGCGCTAATTAAATTACAACATAATTTATCTTAGGTAATTCATACTATTTTCTCTGCCAAGTCTGTGGCTGTTCGACCTGTGGCTGCCCTCAGCCTAACTATTCCAGACGGACACAGAATTCCCTGGGTGGAGAAACAAAGTCACTATTCCTCAGTCATCTAAATATAGTCTCTTATAGAATTAGTCTCACCCCGCTTCGTAAATTTGAAGTATAGACCATTATACACCCGATAGCAGAGTGCAAAGTCGCCTGGCCGGGCACGTGGTCCGCCGGGGAGACGGGCTGCTATAGCCACGCCCAAACCGGTGGTGGCGCATTTAGTGCTAGCACGTAGTAGGCGGCCTGGCCTGCCGGGCTGATTGCCGGCCCGGCTACGAGATAGGGTCTTTACGCAGAACCATGGTGTTGAGGTGGACGCGGGGGAGCTCTATGGACGAGGATAGGCGGGCAGGGCGCTACACGCCGCGCGGGTGGAGGTCACATGACCGTAGTTAGTTGCTGAATATCGTCATATTCGCTCAACACCATGCCAAGCCTTCGTGATATTAACCGTGCGTGGCCAGGCGGCCCGCCGGGCCAGGCGTGCAGTCTAAATTAGTACTATCACTTGGTGGGCCAGCCGACAGCCAGCCTGGCCCATTGGGCCAGGCGGGCCAGGCGACTTTGCACCCTGCCCGATAGTAAAGAGGTAATTGTGCTAGATAGCAGCTATATAGATACCAAATAACAGTTAATGAAAGTAAAGGTAAATTCTCAGTCAGAACAACAGCTACAAACCAGCCACCTGATTAGTATAACCTAAATTTATGGCTTCGTGTATTTTCTCAAGTGGCAAATGGTAAAGTCTTTTAAATTCTTTTTCGTGAGAGGCGTTCATCTTATGACTATTAAATTTGCATCGCGAAACGATTATCTGTTGTAAAACCTAAGCAATACTATTCCTTTAAAGAAATAATACTCGTCAATGAACCCGCACTGTAACCCCAAGGACATCGTTCATGTATCTCTCTAGAATACGCCCAGCACCAACTCTTTCATATGTGCTTCCTGCAGAACATGGTCTGACAATTAGAACATAGACCCAGAATCCTCTTTCGCCAGATAGACTCGTGCACCCGACAATAGCCAACTTGAGTTCTTGTGCGCATATTTTGTTGTCCTTGTTTGGATTTTCTCCATCAAAAGTCAACTGCTGTTCATCTTCATTCGTGTCCTCCCACTTTAGCCCTCTCACTGGCTCTCTCAATTCCATGTCAAGGCCGGTGCTAGATCGTGAGCTTTCGGCAGACGGAAAAGGGATCTGGCTCCCTATAAAACCATCTCCGATGTCGATATACTCGATCTCACCCTCGTATGCCATCCAAGACCAGGATGGCATAGGTGTCTGTGTCTCGGCTATCCGGCGCATTTTTCCCTTAACAGTCCGTCGCCAAAGCAGGCTCTGGTGGAGATATTTTTCAAAAATGCCACATATCTCCCTTGAATCGAGACATTTCACAAACCGATTAACTACTCCAGAGATAGCAATAGGTCGGTCGGAACATCTTGTAAGAGAGAGTTTCGAATATTGCTGAAAGGCAAATTTAAGTATCTCTTGCCCAGCGTATCTAGTCAACGCATTAGGTCGGGGAAATCGAGGCTCATGCAAGCTGTATCGCAGCGGACTAGATGAAAAGGTTAGCTAGCTCTTAATTGCATGCCAGCATAAAGTTTTAGAGTTCTTGTTAGGAAAATGTACATGAATGATTATGGAAGACCCTAATAGAAGAAGAATGATTGTAAAAATCAGACTTACGGTTTAAGGGCGCCGAGAGTTTCACAGCGAATCCTACACCCACATTCCCAATACGTTTGGGTATTCGTGTAATGGATTGTTCGGCACGACAAGGCTCTTTCTTGGAACACCCATCCCCGCTGGTTAAGGACTCCTTTATCCACGTCATGGTCGAAATTGTCGATTCCCTTGCAGAGGTAAACAGTAGAGCCTTCCTGATTTGGGATCCGAACGCATTGTCGAGCTTGACGTGATTGAAACAATCCATCGTTGGGACCTTTAGCAGAGTCTGCAGCAACCGTACAGTAGGCTGAACCAAAGTACTGCTCCATCTTCTCTGCCTCGGTCGCCCAGTCTCCACTCCCGGGCCCGCAGTTTCCGTCGGCACATTTCTCATGAGCTTGCATAATACACATAGAATCAATCCAGAGGTATCGTATGCCTAACTCTCGTGCAACAGTCACGGCGTCTCGGAAAGTCTTAGGTAGATTGTCGAAGTTGATGCCCTCCGTTCGTTCTTTGATGTTACATGCGTAGGTGCAGAACTTCGCCTTCTCATCCTCCGTTGGGTCGCCCCAACGATGAGATAAAGCGATGTATCTTCGGTCCTCCGAAGTTGAGTCGAGTGGAATTCTTTCCTCTTGACTGTTTATCTCTTTCAGGAGCAAGTTCTGACCTCCTACATCTAGGAGCCTTTTTGGAAGCGGTGGTAGCTGGATGGGGGCTTGATAGCAACCTTTTTTCTCGTTACAGGCTCGAAGCCATTCGCGGAGGAGTGCGAAATGGGTCGCGCCTCCCACTTCGGGCAAGACTGGAAATCCAATTCGGATATCCTGCGGAACTTCTTTTACTCCTATCAACAGTCAATTATCTCCCCTAACAATAAAAAAATAGGAAATTGGATAGTACTAACCAGGGTCGGCGATAATTGCAAGACCGGGTGGAGAACCATTCCCAATTTCAAGATCCAACATTGATCCATGCCTGTGGAACACCACAGAACCGTCGCTATTTGTAGATGATCCGAGGAGTTGAAGAACTATCGCACAAAGCTGGCAAGACTGCGCCGAGGTTTGTATCTCCGACGTGTTAAAAACGAGCTCAGAGCCATCCGAAGGTAACTGAATTCGTACACATAGATCGCATAGCGAAGGAGTTTCAGGTCGGAATAGCACCGCTAGCACACTATCAGACTTTCTAAGGCTA